AAAAATCGGCCCCAAGGTCAGCGTGTCACGCCTCAGATGTGCATTCAATGAATGGTGACGGGGAAATCATAAAAACATGAATGACACAACAAAGCGAAACATAAAAAATAAAAAAAAATGCGGAGCCAAATGAGAAAAAGGATAATCAGGCGACAGTAAATCGTTCCATACTTGGCTATTATCGATCGCAAGGTCGCAAGCGCTCTCGCTGCAAAAATGTCATTGAGCCGCGTAACTCGAAAGTCGCGTTCCCTGGGTCTTTTAGGAGCTTATATCTCTTTTAGGTGCGGGAGTTTTGAGGAATGGTGAGCAGCATGCAACGGCAAAGTTTCTACTGTTGTGTATTCTACCTAGTTGCAAACTGAACAATCCCCCGTTGGTGAAATATTCCGGATGGGTTTTGGATAGGCTAGGGTAAATGGCAAGCGGGTTTTTATGCTTCACACGAGGACTACTTATTTCGAACGCAATTTCATCAGGATTGAAATAATCCTGGGATTGCCCTATCTTTTCTCTTTCCAGTAAGCTTTACAGTTTTTCTGAAGACCCACTAGTTCAGGAGATATTTTAGATGGGTCACAGACGCGCTACCCTCTGACCCACCCGAAAAATCGACTCCTTCTGTGCCATTGTGAGGATACACCTTCAAAAACTCCAAAATACATATTTCCCTTCGAATGAGTGAAAGAGGAGCTCCGGCTATCAATCGATTTGGTCCGACCGTGCGCCGTGCATTACTCTCCTACGCAGAGGTGATGGAAATGTGTAAATTCTGAATTCAGGTGATTTTTTCATGGAAACAGATGTTTGCTCAGAGTTTGGAAAGGACAATACGCACGGATCTGTTTGAGACGTATTATTTAGTCATCTACGTACTTACGAGTTCATGCTATTAATGATTTATTTATTTATTTATTTATTTTGATATTCTTGCTATATTGCTAATAAATTTTTATTATTTTGTAGTCCTATTTACATCCGGGTCTTCTGCAGCTTTCCGTTCCTTCCATCAAACTTAGCAATGACACTTTTGTACTGTTTGATGCCTAGCGAGCCTACTTTTGCGATACTCCCCATGTCCCCCGCGGCCAAGTACGAACCCATTTTGGGGATTTTGCATGAAAAGAGGGCTGTTAAACGTAGCAGTTCAATCTGTAAAGAATACACTCATAATAATTTTCATTTTTTAACATCTTAACTTCCATAGCTCCACTCCCACTATCAACTGAAATGTCGAAGCATTGCCCGGCTCTGAGTGACCCTTGAGATTACGACCCCCCCTCCCCAGCGGCCAAGTACGACCCCCCTATGGGTTTCGCACAACGATGCTGTACCCTGACTCAGGGTAGTCTAGCTATCAACTACCGAGTGTAAGGGGTTTGTCCTATTTGATTTAAAGTGTTCGTTTTGGTTTGAATAGTGTCCGATTCGGTTCGAGTGTCTGATTCAAGATGAAAATGGGCATGGTTTCAATCGTTGAAACCGTGCCCATTTTCATTTCGTTCGGCGCCCAACCAGGCCATGATTTGACAGAAAACTCGGCCAGACTCGGAACGAAGAGATCACTGTCTGAGAGAATAGTGATCACGGCCTGGACTTAAAATTGTTGACAGAGGACCGACAACATGTAACCGGAGCAACCTTTCTTAGAGACATTCCCTGCGATCGATTATTATAAATAGCGGTTGTTCAAATATAAAGCTGTAGTCGATAAGTGGTTCCACAGGTGGGAAGAAAGCAAAACAAAACTTCAAGAACCCCCTAAACAAATCTCCCCTTGATAGTCCCACAGCCTCATCAAGCCCCATAAACGAATCTCGCCTCTCGAAAAGAACTGCTATTGCTCGCTCGCTTACACAAAAGTTTAAAAGTTTCCTTGGGGAGCAGAAGGACCGTTGACCTTGCAAAAATCAACACTATATTTTATACGAAAAAAAAACTGAGCTATCCCTTCAAAAAAGATTCCCCTCTGAAATTCCAGTTGATAAAGATTTAGAGTAATCATCAGTCACCATTTCTAATATAAGCTGTCAAAGTATGATATGAAATCGAGTAATGCATATTCTATAGGAGCGAACAGGTGGAGAAGCTCTGAAACTTACTGCAGCAGTACGAAGAGACGTATGAAAAGGCCAATCCTCCCACCGTCACACAGAAGATGACACGCTGTCGACTGTGTCGGCTGCAAGTGAGCTCGACCACGATGTTACATCGGACGTGTTGTCTTAATTTCGCTTCTTTGTAGTCATCTTTATCCTCGCTGAAGTTATATCTGTGAGAAAATATCCAAGACTTACAATCATTCGAACAACAAACAATGCGAAATCTGCAATCGCAAAAATTGCGCACTGTTAGAGGATGGCCGAGGGAATGATAATCAGAGGATGATTCCTTCTCGCAGTGGAGTGGTTGTGTTGTTTATGGGCTGTTTTTTTTTGCTGGAAAAGTGTCATGAGAAAAACGCAGACATGCCGAAAGGGTTCATCATGGAGTAGTAATACTTCCACAAGGAGTAAAGTGGGTGGTTCTCAAAGTTTGAATGTCCTCCTCAATTTGCGATACATTTTCGCATATTTGCTTTAGGTACCGTATGCTGCCAGCAGAACAGTAATTAGATGGAGCCCTCGTAAAAGTGCTGCAACTAGGGTAAGTAACGGTAATTTGGAACTTCACAGGTACTTAGTGGAAAACAAGCGCCTCTTCGCCGCGGATGGATACTCTTATGCTGAAGGATTCGTCTCTGGCACGTTGTCGTGACTGGCGCACGACCGTCCCTAGGGGGGGGCTAGTGGGGCGCCGTTAGGAAACCGCGCTCGGAGTTGCACAGTCGTCGGTCCTACTACGAAAAGCATTACTCGCGGGGAACCGCGCACACAGTACTTGTCATCACTTTCAAATCAGTCGTCGTCCTGCGCTCATCATGAGCGGTCGTGCAACCGGTGGACCAGCGCCGCCATTCCTTGTCCCAGTCTAACTTCGGTCCATGGTCTTTCCATGACACAAGTGACCACTTGCTTCCACTATTCTCCTCGTGCGTTATCCACAGATACGCCTTCATCTTAACCATTTGTTGTACACATTAGTATCATATGTGTTGTTATCAGACTGTAATGATTTTATTGATGTTACCATTCACCGTTTTCCGACATGAAGTTGTTGATGATACTTGTGTTATGTCAGTGTAGTCATAGTGGGTAGGTAATGCATGGGTTCATGCTCGTCTTCCACATAGCAAGGGGCAGGCCTTACGCAGCCCGTGGCAGGACCTTGGGAGCATACAACGGCGCGACGTCCCCTTGTAGGAGGGTGCGGGCCCTTACAACCCCGCGTTCTGGCGTGACCCAGGTGCACCCCGCCGAGGCTAACATCTTGTCCGCACCTGGTCACGACACACGTACTGGAAGAGAACGGCTCGAAGAAAATAGTCTCTTGAGATAAGAAACATTAACCGAATTTTTATTCTTCAACATCACAAACTTACGAAGAAATGCTTTGCCTCTGCCGTTTGCATTTTGTGGAGTTCAAAAGGTAGAAAGAAGCTGACAGTCTTGGTTGCAGTATGTATTTTGTTACGCTTCACGGAGGACACTTCACGAGCAGGATGCATGGCATCCAGCGGCTGCACGCAAGAAGCATTATCACGCTTTGGTGGCTGACATGGCGGGTTGCTTGGGATTGGTCTGTATTATAGGCCAATTTCAAGAGAACCTTGCAAAAACAACCGAAAAATAATGTGATAAAAACAGTCGGCATGCGGAAAGAGTCCCCCTGGATGACCTGATACTTCTTCGTTAAATCGTGAAGGCCCTCTTTAGGATTCAAAGTCCCTCCCCATTTTGCAATGCATATCAGTAGTAGGTATCGAAAGGTGGAGCTTCATAATAGTAGTTCAGTAACATGGAGTTAGAGCGTTTGTATAAATTTTGCAACAGAAGTAAGTGGCTACTTTTTTGGAAGTAACAGGTAGCATCTTCAGGAAAGCAAGTAGCTTTCTGCGTCGGATTGAATTATGGATCGAGGGAGTGAGGTTCACTTTCTCTGGTACGCAATCGAAGGAAACCGCTTGAGGAAAACTGTTTTGTAGGTTGGAGTGATATTAAATCGAATTTTTCATTCTTCATCATCAAAAAATGTAAAAGTGCTGCTCTCTGTAGAGCTTAAGCAGTGTAAAGGAGCTGGCACAGCTTTTCACCATTGCAGTACGTCTTTTGTGGGCATGCAGAACAAGGTGTCCCCTTGCTGTAGATCTGTTGGCCGAGCTTGTTTCCTCTGAAAAGTACTTATCAATCCTCTGATCCGTCTCATTAGAACATAACAATTTCCACAAAAAAAAACAGAGGAACAGGAGGTGTGGGATATGCCTGGATGAGCCAAGACAGTCCGTAAAAATTCACAATTACTCGCGAAAGTGTATAACTGGATGAATTGGGAATTGCAAACCAACCCCGGCTTGTAGTGACATACAACATTCCAGTAGGAATTGCAGGAATAAACGGCACATCCATAGTACTGTGTTGTTGCCCATGCCATCTGCAATTCCGACATTTTGGTCATTTTCATCAGAGGGTGAACTTTTATATGGCAGAGATGAAAAGTGTTTCACGGATTTTTACAGCGGATCTCACCCTGGTGAACCATTCAGTGGGCTTGCCCGCATTGAAGCTGGTGAAGGTGACGCCTTGACCAACGCCACCAGTCACTCTAATTTGGCTCCACCACTGCTTCACAGCCTGAACAAGAATTTGCTTCGCCCTGTTACGCTGACCGACGATGTGTTAGTTTGACTTACAACAGTAAGGGCATCCACTTCATTACTAGCGCGGCTCTTCTCGAACAGATGAAAGTTCTCCTGTACATCAGTAGGGAGATTTGGGTCGCCAATCAAAGAACATCTCTGCGCAGACTTCCACGCACTGGATTCTAGTGCGCAATTGTACTCCTGGAAATTGATGATGCTATCGTAATTACATGAAGAATTCAATGATGGCGAGAAGAGATCTTTCCGATCAAGTAATTGGTAAAAACTTGAAATACCAGTCTCAGCATGTTAGATGCGGTCGGCAAGTTTCTTCCAGCCTTATTCTTTACTTCTCCCCTTGCAAGTCTTCCTCTAAAAGGGATACAAATTTGACAAAAGTGCTCTGCAATCACAGAAGCATTTGAGATACTCCGTACCTTCGATAATTGTGTGCGGTGTTAGCCTGAACTCTGGTAGGGTCAGTCATTCCAGAATTTGATGGGCAGATCCGGTTATTGGGCTCTGGAATGCCAGCAGAATTGTGCTAAGTGTTTTTCCATGCTCATCCTTGCAGAAAAAAAAAGTTGCACTCAGCGCTGTCTGATGTGAGTCTGATTCCTACTATGTACAATCCACATTCTGGAGGTAAAGTATGGATGACTGCGTCTCCCTTTTGAGCAAGCGCTCTTGGCGGGATACCGACCGGCGTTCTGAGAGAATCGCAGTCTTCTCTACGTAGAACAATGCAACACTACATCATTCTCACGTGGAAGTTCCCACAAGAGGCTCACTTTCTGCCACGTTTAAATGAATGATGTAGCCAAATCATGCCCACCTCCAGGATATGGAGAGTATAATAGGCCTCATCTCGTGTTTATCCAGAATATTCGTGCTCAAGCATGAGATGAAAGGGGCGTAGGTTTGGAGTTCTAGACAAACATGAACCAAGGTGAGCTCCTTACACAATTCTTGGCATTAGACCGATTATTGCCCATGTGTGTGCAGAGCTGAAAGCACTCACGTGCCCACAATGAGCAGGAAATTCCCCTTAAGCTGGAAGGGCTCACTTTAAAAACATTGAGCAAAAGTGAGGGGCTTGTAGCGAGTGGTGCGCTAAGAGGTGGAACAGGGATTTAATCTAGAACTTAGAATTCACTCGGTTCCAGTGCACTTTAGAGACCGAAAGAATCGAATATTGGAAAGCATTGGGTAGTCGGTCGAAATAGGACGGTAAATTCTATAAAGTAAAAGAGTACCCTCGCTGTGAACAGGAAGTAGTGTCGCAGTAGTGAAAACTCAACGCTTCCTACGAAGGTGATTGGCACTGACTCAGAATGCTCTTCGGATGGCCGGATGACACCGTCCTCCGCACAATCCTTTGGTGAGGCGATCCTTTACTACCATGCACATAAATATCAGCTGCGCTCTCCTTCATTCAGTAACATGGAATCGGTTGATGCGTAACATTCCCTCTGTGTTCATTTGATCAACGCTCGTCACCGTCAAAAGATTGAGAAATAGTAGTGAATTATCGTGATGTACACGCAGCACACGATGCGTTGCTCAAGCGCATACATGAACGAATGCTCAGCATTAACCGCGATGCAGCCCACCGCAAGAAGAAGCGCCAACCGTCAATTCGACTTGTAAATCGCGAGAGGCATGAGAAAAAGCTGGGCGGTAAAAGTTCTAATTAATGCTCTTCTGAAAACGAACGAGGAGCCACAGTGGTCGTAGTTGTAGTAGTTGTAGTAGTTGTTGTTGTAGTTGTTGATTCTGTAGTTGCTGGTTTCGTTGTGGTTTCCACTGTGGTCTCCATTGTGGATTGAGTAGTTGCTGGTTCCGTAGACGTTTCTACTGTGGTCTCTAACGTGGTTTCTGTGGTTGGTGATTCCGTCGATGTTACCACTGTGGTCTCTAACGTGGTTTCTGTGGTTGGTGATTCCGTCGATGTTACCACTGTGGTCTCTGACGTGGTTTCTGTAGTCGGTGATCCAGTTGAGGTTTCTACTGTGGTCTCCAACGTGGTTTCTGTGGTTGGTGATTCCGTCGATGTTACCACTGTGGTCTGTGACGTGGTTTCAGTGGTTGGTGATATCGTTGAGGTTTCCACTGTGGTCTCTGTTGTGGCATTTGAATTAGCCTGTGCGGTATTCAACAAGTGGCTCACCTAGAAAGATTCTTTTATTGTTAACAGATGTATCCACCAATCAAACAAAGACTCACCACCACTACAAAGAGCAAATGCAGAAGAGGCCGAGAGTACATGTCGGAAGATGCCGGTACTCAGATACTACCTCTTTTATACGGACTCTCATATTAATTTTGTGAAATGAACAAAAGTGTGTTATTAATTTCGGGCAACGAACAAAAGTGAAAGGACTATCAGGGATATCCGAATGGGCGAAACAGTCCAGGGCATACCATTCTCAAAAAAGGTGAGATACGATCCTGTCAATTTCAGAAGCAGTGCTTGCAGCAGGACTCGTATCTGATCGCCGATGCTTGGGACTGCTCGTGAGAGGCTGCAGTAATCTCACTAGGGATGGTCGTCAGGTCGAAGTGGCCGTTTGTAATGAGACCTAGACCA